TCTTCACCAATAGGGTCTAAGCACTACAAAACAGATGAAAGCAAGGAAGAGTATGTTGAAAAATAAACCTCTTTTGGTCACATTCCATGAGAATATTGGTCAGCCTATGAACTTTTCAAGCCGGCTTTCGTTTAACCCTCGTCACGCGCTGATTTTACCAATCTCAAAAGAAGCTGTTTGTGTGCTTTGTATGTGGAACTTGGCTGGATAATCTAGGAAGAAACTGACACTTCCATGGCGATAAGGAAATGTCTAAATGTGTCTTCTGTGAAAAGGCTAAACATGGTGTTACCAAAATAAATATCAAATAATTGAAACTAATTTTGAAATCAATCGGGATCGTTTCCACTCAAGATTCTAGGCGTACTAAGCCAAACAGACAGGAATATTCGCAAACTCGCTCAAAAAGAAATAAATTTTATATATAAAGTTGTCTATTGTCTACAAATATGCATTTCCTTATAATTTTTCTCTTTCATTATACCTTCTATATTGGTAGAAAGAGGTTTACCTTTACCTTATGTCGATTTCTCTCTCTTCTTGTCCCAGTAATTTTCGGGTTGACTACTGCATGTACATCAGTAGTATCTGATGTACACGCTGTATCTATTGACGTGTGCATTTCCTATCTCATGTTTCTCTTTTATAGTCGAGGTGCATATATTTTAATTTCCTCGAGTTCTGACATGAGAGGAGCTATAACTGGTTCCCTCATTCTAAAATATTTTTCTCTTGTCATTTCTTCTATTCGCATAGTCACCTGCTGGATTTCAATTTTTCCTCTTGTCTATTTTTATTATTTATTTCATTGCAATAACAATTTTTGTAACATAATAAAATCTTTAAAATAAGGTATTATCTATTTTTAATGATTTTTGAGATAGATAGATAGATAGATAGATAGATAGATAGATAGATAGATAGATAGATAGATAAACTGCAATTTAGCCATGTGCTAAATTTCCCTCGCTTCTTAAGAATTTATAAACGAAAACCAGTTTGGTTTTGTTTTAAGAAAAAGCTGGAAATCTTTAATATATATTAACAGACGGAGATAGATAGATAGATAGATAGATAGATAGATAGATAACTGAACTTACATATACACACATATATGTGTGTGCGCGCGTGTGTGTATGTGTGTGTGTGTGTAAAAAGTCTGTTTTAGCCAAATAGACGGTTTTTAAATTATTGTTCGTGTCTGCCTTTTGAAATAAGTTCTACTCGTTTATTTAGTAATTTGTGTTGGTATAGGGATGGAATTATAGATATTTTCCCCTCGAAACAGAGGTTACAGTTTCTGGATTTATTCTTGTAGCGGCTGATGTTGTTTTCCTTAACTTGGTCTTTGCTTTTAATTTTCCATATATGTTTTAAAAGTATTGTGATGTTCACATATTTACTATTTATAAAGGATGTTTTGTGTGCGTAGTTTCTCTGTTTCCACGTTCCTTCACTTGCTCCTATGCATGTTTTTTCATTGTTATCTGCTCATTTTACAGTGACTTGATATATTATTTTGTTTTGCAAGCAATTAACATTTAAGGGATATTCTTTCATTGCTATACAGTTACAGTTGGGGCTGATTTGAGCAAATGGTTCGTTGGTTATTTTTCTATAGTGCTTTTTATTATTTTTTAATCTTGTCATGTTCTCGCTGTGACTATACCTTATTTTTACTGTTTCTGTAGAATATCTTGTGGAGAATGGTTGATGGCAAGAAATGTCTGCGTATGAGTTTAATGAATATTTTTCCTACGATTTTTACTTTTTTGTGGATTAAATTATATGATGTTTCTTTAACTGCTGGGATTTTTTACTGTACGTATGTTAGTGTTGCTGAAAATCCACTATCATTTAGGGCTGTTTCATAATCTTTCTTGGCGTTGTTAGATATGGTTTCTTTGGTAGAATTGCAAGATAACTTGCGGTTAATTTGATTTGGGGATTTGCTTGATTGTTGTTGACGAGTGTAAAGTGATTTGTCGTTAGGTTTTCTATATGGTTGACATAAATTTTCTGAGATTGCGTGTGAAATCTACTTCTTTTAGCTTTATGTCTATGTTGGATCCTATATTTTTAAAAATGTTTATGATTATTCTCTTGGTTTTGTCTGTTTTTCGCCTGTTACAGTTTCTTAGGATTATGAGACGGTCGTCCGTGTAGAGGCTATATCGTTTTTATAGATCATGCTACTTAGTTTGCGTAGTAAATGTATATCTATATGCTTACGCACCATCAAATCTTCCTTGTGACGTCAAAGCTTTTTTTCTTTCTTTCTTTCTTTCTTTAACCACGCGTTTTTGTTGTCGTATAAGAGTAATTTTTGGCAATGCTTAATGTTTTTTAATTCGTTTGAGCTTATTTCTATTTTATTCTTGAGGTAAGGAGATGCCCTCATCTAGCATTGGTTAGGTTATAGGAGGATAAAAAATATTTTATATCTAGTTTTATAAATTGGCAATTATGTTTGTTTTTAAGTTACGGAAACAACCTGTTTTCTTTCACTGGTTTTCTCCTAACTTCTTACTTAATTCTGAATTAATTATTTCTGGTGTTATTTTGAGTTATTTTGCCTCGTTCATTTTTCGTTGGATTTATGAGTTTGCATATTTGTTTTTAGATTTTCTTCGTGGTCTTTTAGTGTAATGAATACTTGGGATTTAGCGATACAGTTTATTCGGCCGTCTAGGTCTAATGTTTGGGTAATTTTTTAGCTTCCCTATTAATATTGTATTCTGTATTTTTGGTGCTTTTCTGTATGATTTTGTTAGGTTTTACTTGAGTAGTTTGTTGTGTTTTGTGGGCTTTCGATCATAGAAATTTCGGGGGGTCTGTGGCAATTTATTGCCACAGGACCCCCCCGTGAGGTGAATTGATTTTTTTTGTTTTTTTTTTGTTTTTTTGTTTTGTTTTTTTATTATTCTATCTCCTTTTAGTTGTTTTCAAAACGTATCTAATTGCTTATCAAATTTTATGTTTCTTAGTAAGTTAGTTATGTCCCTTTCGAAGTTTCTTGCGCTGTGACAGAAATGTTTTTGTTTTAAACCGTGTTTTCCCTTGAGAGTGGTATTTATGTTAAGTTCTTGGTTTCCATCTCATTCCTTTTCTGAAACCTTCTATTTTTTTCTATTCATTTGACTTTGTAGGTAGATGGTGGTGGAAGATGGGTGTGTTTTTTTAGTGAATAGACGGGGTCAAACTTTTCTATGTCCATGATAGCTTATAAATGTAGTGAAAGTGCTATACTGTTCATCAAAAATATTATAATATATTAATAGAATTATATAAATAATAAACAAATAAACAAAGAGAAATGTAATAATAATAATCAACAACAAATAATTAAGTAATCAATAATAAAGTATGAGTAAACAGTTAAAAAAATAACACTATAAAATAGATATAAATAACTGCATTCAAATCCACAATTATTCCTGCTCAGTAGTCTCTTGACTAATTTGAAACGTAACCGTTACCGGTTATGTTAACTATGTTCACCATAGTCTATGAATATAGAATACAGCGCAGTACGTAATCTGTTCAATGAAACAACGTTGAAGATTAACACTCACGAGTCAGACACTCTACTGAATCTGCCTATATCGCCAATACCACCACCACCACCAGCAGCAGCAGCAATTCTGTAATTCTTCAGTCTTCGATATCAAAGGCTGCCAATGAATATTCGGGAAAAAACATGGCCGCCTTTATACACGTCTCATTGAATATTTTGAGCCTTCTGAGTGGTTAACCCTTCTATTGGTGAACTATAAAATGAGTCAGCTCATTTTGGCTGGCTCACTACCACCCAGAAATTCCAACAGGTTACCCAAGAACTGTTCGAATAATAAAACAGGCATTGATACTCATAATGCAGCATTGACTAGCACGTATAAATAGTCAAGTCAAAGCACAATACACATGGCCGGAAGATTGCTTTCAAGCATGAAACAGACTGTCGCTTCTAGGTTTTGACATCAGTGAAGTCAAAACTCAGAGGCAACAGGCTGTTTCATGCAAGACGTAATTGTCAGGCTAGCGTCTAGCATGAAACAGCCTGTCGCCTCTGAGTGTTTCAATGTTCACTTTTATATTTACATACGCTCTATCCCTGATGTTGAACACTTTATCCCATAATATAGTACACCTTAAAACTATATTTCTTCATATATATGTGTGTCTGCCTGTGTGTGTTTGCGTGCGTGCGTGTGCGCTCACACACACACGTGTTAATATAAACTATGTTTGAGGTGACATACTTGCTTTTTTCTTAATCAGCGAAATTAATAACTACCAAGACGTTTTTAAAATAATTCATTCGTTTTTTGTCCGATAGGCATCAATTACGCAGACGCACACACAGACACACACACACTCATACACACACACACACACACATATATATATATATATATATATATATACCAGATGGATGATTATAAATAGATGTACATGTAAGTGTTCAAATACAAATACACACACACACACACACACACACATATATATATATATATATATATATATATATATATATATATATATATATATATATATATATATCCTTTCGTATAAGAAAAACAGTGCTTGTTAATAAATAACAAGCTATTAAGTATATATTATTATGAATATTATTATTATCATTATTATCATTATATTATATTAAGTATTCGGTCTGTCTGTTTAATTTTTATTGTACTTTTCCGATTTTCGAATAAAGTATTGATTGATTCATTTTTTACGGCTTACCAACATTTTACAGGTTATTTTATGCCAGAAAATATTTTAGATTGTAAGACTTTCTTTTTCGAGATAATAATGATTTAAGAATATACGTCTTACTGATTAACCCATTGATGGAGGTGAGAAGAGTTGGATTAATACCTTTCCCCAAAAGATTTGCGGGTATGTGAATATAACTAACCCAACTGGAATTGGAACACGGCTCTCCAATTAACAATTCCGAGCCATTATCCATTATACTACCAACACATTCAAGCTTACTGCGCCTGGTATTCCCACGTGGCCACCCATCTAAGTACTGATTAGACTCGACGTTGCTTAACTTCGGTGATCGTACAGGAATTGGTGCTTCAGAATATGGTATTGTATACTGTGATCAAAATTGTAGATAAGCTGTCTGAAGTTCTTGTTTGTAATTTTGTCTCAGTCATTTTCAAGAAACAAGGTCGATGTGTGTAAACATAACTGTTCATATATATGCGTGTCTGCCCGATCATCTGTGTATATGCGCGTGTGTGTGTGTGCGTGTGTGTGTATGTGCAGCATCGCATGTGTGTAACACTATTTAGCTTGACTTTTAAAAAAGTTTCACTCTGTACGAGCGTGTTTCTCTTCGATTTTTTTTTAATGTAATCGTCTTTGTGTATGCGTGTATCTGCGTATGCGTGTCACAAATTACATAGCAACCTCCAAGTCACCCATTCACCGTGTACTTGTGTCTGTGCGCCTCAGTCTTAGTGTCTCCAACAATGGTGGAGGTGCTTCATCCGAGGAGTCGATATTCAGACTTAATTCCCTTTTTCGCTACGCCTTACTTGAAAGGCTTTTATTCAAGTCTTCTCTTTGTACCTGAGTCGCTTCGTTAAAGAACAAGAAAGTCCCAATAATAGTCCTGATAAATAGGCTCCATTTTTATCTCTTTGCCAATTTCAACGGCAACCTAGTATCTCCACTACTTATCGACTTCAGATTAATTTCTATTTATTTATCTCATGTCTTTATCTCGTCTACTTAATAAACTTATCTTCTGTGGTCGATAATATATCTATTTAGCATTTTGTCAGACTGTGTTTGGGACTTTTAGTTTTGTGGTTTAACTACACAGAACATTGATTGGATAATTGAAAATTTCGAGAAAATTATCTATAGATCAATTTATACATCGACCTATCGATCTTCTCTTTCAAGTGCTTTTTTTTTTTTTTTTGCTAGTGTGTTTTCATCCACCTCGGTCTAATCATTTACGCGTCCATTTCATTTGCTATACAATATTGCCGTCTGGATTTCAATGTAACTAAAATAGTCTCTGAATATGTTAATAATTCTTTTTTTATCTATCTACTCTATTCCATCTCTTTCCTATCTCTTCCTCACCACCCGCTCCGCTCTTCGACTGAAATTCGTCTCCTCCTCTTCTTTCTTTTCCTCTCCGCATATCTATTTCCTTCTCGATTTATATACACCCTCTCACTCTCTCTTTCGTTCTCCCCTTCTCTTCCATCTCTTGCTTCCTTTCTCTATATCTCCCCCACTCTCTCCCTTCCTTCTCTCTGAAATCTCCTCTCCTCCGTTCAATTTATTCCCCCTTCTCTATCCCTCCTTTCTCTATCAATGTGTGTATCTGACTAATTATTACCTGATCACTTCTGAGCTAGCGGGATAGATAGATAGATAGATAGATAGATAGATAGATAGATAGATAGATAGATAGATCAGTTTATATCCCAATGGGCATTAAACAGCTCTTTCTATCCATCGATCTTTTGTAAGATAGTTCATATCTATCTATCTATCTATCTATCTATCTATCTATCTAAATCTGTTTGTATCCATAAGAATATATATATATATATATATATATATATATATATATATATATATATATATATATATATTTTGATATTAGTCTAAATATTTACATATTAGTGCAAAAACATATGCCTAAGCAGTGTATGTACGTAGGCATATATACATACATATATCTATAAAGGACATGGATGTTTACTGATATTAGCACATCGGTAAAATATATTTAACTTGAGTTCATTCATATAATTATAAATGTATCCACTTCTTTTCTCTCCTCCCACTCTTTCATTATTTTCCTAACCATTTCGTTGGTAAAAAAAAATATGTACTTTTATATAGTGCGCTCTCGCACATATATGTATGTGTATGTATATATATATATATATATATATATATATATATATATATATATATATATATATATATACTTTAAATTTATCCGAAGAGATATAATTGATTTAGATTTTCTATTCTCTCTCACTCTCTATCTATCTATCGATCTATCTCTCGACAATACAAAGGATATAAGTCGTGTATATATATATATATATATATATATATATATATAAATATATATAGTTTCATATATATATAATATGTGGATATATATATATATATATATATATATATATATATATATATATATATATATATATATATATATATATATATAGTAATGTTATGCTTTTCTGGGGGTGCCTGCTCAGATACATTTGTGTTTATTGATTTACTGCTCAGACACATTGTGATTTATTGATTTACTGAGCGAATCTTAGTTACAGATTCTTAGTGACAATACATGAATACGTCCTTACATATGGCGGACTTTCTTGTCGTATTCGACGTATGATAATTAAGCAGCCGACATATGATTTGATTGTATTGATGAAGGCTTTTTGAAGGGCCGAATATGGAAACCTGGTGCACTACTTGCCACAAGGGTTTTGAATCCGAGTTGTCCTTCTGCTAGACTAGATGCCCACCAAGGCTATAGAAACCAGGTCGGGAGAAGAAAAGGATTAATACATTTGAATGTAAGTGAATGTAATGGATTCAACTGGAATTCGAACTCGGCCCTCCCATTCCTCAATCCGAGCCGCTATTCACTACTCCAATACATCTACTTACTTTTTCCATTTTCACCCTATCTTTGTCTCTCTCTTTCTCTCCCGCTCTTTTTTCTCTTTTTCTATCTATCTATCACGTCTGTACAATAAATATAAACTTATATGTTTATATTTATATATATATATATATATATATATATATATATATATATATATATATATATATATATATATATATATATATATATATATATATATACTTTGATTGTATTTCTCTAGTTGTAATTGTATCTATTTTCTTCCTCTCACTCTTTTCCACCTCTCTCGCTCACTCGTTGGCTCAATCTCCACATAATTTTTGGGTTGTATAAAAAACAACAACTTATATACGTTCGTCTGAATGCCGAAAGACAATTTATCTTCAATTCACTTGTTCATCTTTCAATGTAGCATTGAATTCTCACTGATGTCTGGCCAGTTTTACAAATCTAATTCTTTGAAATATTTTGCATTCAGTCGAACTAAAACACTTCATTTCCTGGCGTGCCATTTTTAAATACAAAAAAAAATATCCAATCCAAGCACAAATAACATTAGTTCCACACCAACGCTTCATTTTCTTAGCAGACCGGAACAAATAAAGTCAAACTCGGAAACTTTTTGCTTCTTCAACTTGCAACCCAACTTTTATTCGCAAACGCCATAAGTAATCTTTAAGTTCATTAGTTTTTACCTATGTTCCAAGTTAAGACACGTTAAAATCTATCGAGTGTTTGAGCCAGTAAGAAACAGCCGTTAACAGATGACGTGCAGTAAATAAGGTGTCTTTTTGAGCGGCAGAATGCCTCGAAGGCAAAGAGAGATGCAGTCATGCTATGATCCTTTTCAGGCCTATCTCCTGAAAGATTAGAGAAGAAATGAACCAGAAGACTTTGCTATTAAGACAGCAAATGCACAAATTCTTTTCTTTAGAAGGTTTTCAGTAGAATATATCCAGTTAATTATTATTATTATTATTATTATTATACTCATTTCGGTAGAATCTGGTCGGAGACCACCACTATTATGTAATTATTATAACAGATAATGGTGCAAAAGCTCCTCTCAGTATTTCAGCATTTGTCTCATTATTTTATTATTATCATGTTGGTCTCAGATATTGACGTAATCAATGAAAATTCTTTTCTTGGGGCATGGAATCAACAAGACCCCTTATAACTCAAATATTTTTCGGCACATCTTCACAGAGCAAATGACAACAGTTTTCTGGAGGTCTACAATCTTTGTCTCAATTCCAATTCTCCCTAAGCACCTTTTCAGTTTTCTAGGTGATGTTCAAATTGCAACTTTTACTGCAAAAATTAATTTTTACTTTCATTTTGCATAGCTTCTTTAGCCCTCTAGCTAGATCCTGGTATTTTTCTTCTTTTTTTTTTTCTTTTTTTTTTGTATCATATAGAACAACAAAAGTAAATTTTCTGACTCTTGCTATTCTCCTTATCTCTTCGTGCTTCAATGACATGATCTGCCTTGACTGAGAAATGCCTTATTTTATGACTGTCATTTTACTCTATTAATATTATTATTTCCTTGGGTTACTGTTGTATACACATTTCCTTCCTAGTCCCAACTAGACAGACCTAAGGTCAGAAATGTCTTCATGACATTTTTCCACTGATCATTTTTGTAAAAGCAATAAGATCGCACACATTTTACAAAGATAATGCTCTTAATAAAGTGTAACTTTTTGCTGTGAGTACAATTTTTGTATTTCATTACGTTATGGGCTACAGGGAATCCCTTCAAAAGCCTATCGCAACCTTTTCCAATCAAGCCAAGGGTTTCAACTACAAGTGGAATTATTGATGTCCTCATGTGCCACATTTTTTAGATTTCCACTTGAAGATCCTTGTATTCTGATAATTCTTTGAAGATCTCCAAAGATATTCAAAGTATTGTAGAAATGTTATAGATTTAAGTGATGTAACTAAAACAAAAAAAAACAATTCTGTACTAGCAACGACTCACACACAAACTTATTCATTTTTGTTCACAAAATAGGCACCAAACACCAAACTGAATTTCCACATTTACATATATTAATCAGTCAGCGACGTTAGCACAACGCGCTGAGACCTTTGAAATTTTCAGACACATCTGTTTATCGTCTGCTACAAAATTTGTAGGATCACTTCAGAAAATTATCAATATGTTTCCTCCTTGAAATAGTTAAAAATTGGAAAAAATATTATTTAACCAATAAATTCTGAGTTTAGTAAAATCTAACTTGGAGCCTTCTTAATTCCTTATTCGTGATATTAAGTTAGTTATTCAGTTGTTCCGTAAACCTTTAACCAGGGTCGGTTGTTTGTTTTTGTGGACAAAACCTTTCGTATAATTTAATACATAACCTTTATTATATTTTATTCGAGTATACTTTATTACAAATTTAGCGATGTTAAAATTAGCACATTTAAAAT